ATATACACCGGCTTGTGAACAAGCATGGTGCAAACGCCACAACAATATTAACAAAAATAATAATAGGGGATAGGTGGATCGTGGTACAGAACAGAATGGAAAGAGGGTGAAACAGTTCAATACGGAAAAATAGATAACTGAGATAAAAAATTATTTGTGTTTCACCGTACACTTTTTGAGATTTTTTTGTCTTTTGTTATTTTACGGGACGCGGGATTTCGACAGGCAGACCGTACAGCATTCGCGCCAATGACTTCTATTCCGGGTCATATCTCTCAGCGTTTCTGATCAGCCACAATCCTCATCCCTCGGGCCCCAACCTGGAAGGCAGGTTGCACCAACTGAAGCCAAAGCTGAGGCCAGCGTCTTCATGCCTCTGGCCTATGTCATGTTCTAACCACCATGATTGTGGTGATCGTGGAAGTAGTAGTAGTGAAAGTACGCACAGAATTCAGGACACGAACTACGCAATAGGAATCACGGAACACGAATTAGAAGTCCAGTGGCACTGGACTGCAATGGCTTGAACTCGCAATAACCAGCAAGATCGAGACACGAGGAAAAAGGCCACAAGACAGACGAATCACAAACTCGTTTATTGAAGAAAATGAAAGTGAATATATATGTGCACAAAAGAAGATCATTGGTTACCTTAGTTTCCACCATAACCTTGCGTCATAATGCACTTCTCTTCATTGTATCTGATTGGCTGGAACGGTCCACCAATGACGTGTATCTGGAGGCTGTGCACGTGCTACTGGCGTCAGCGCTCAAGGTCGATTGACTACCAATATGCGGAAACTGTACCGCGCTGCTCCAGGGCAGGCGTAATCTCGTAGATCCGAATCACCACAATGATGCTTCTTCCAGCCTTGTCCGGCAAGTGCAAAGAGAGCACGGCGAGGTAGTTGATGGGCAGGCATAGGCAATAGGTGACCAAGCCATCGGAGGCGGAGTAGAGTAATTACTTCCGTTAGAGAGTGACTAAGCATTCTGTAGAACATCCTCAATGGTGAAGTTGAAAAGAAATGGATATAGAGCAGCCTTGCCGAACTCCACTGCAGACGGCGAACGGTGGCGAAAGTTGGCCATAGGCCCTAACCCGACCTGAGGTATGACGAAACAACTCTTTGAGGATCGACACACCTCTCAGGTACTCCATTCCTCAGCAAACAGTTCCATAGTGCGGTCCTATCGACAGAGTCGAAGGCCGCGCGGATGCCTAAGAATACAATGATCGTCGGTCTTTGGTAAGCATGACGGTGCTCTAGCAGCTGTCGGAAGGTGAAGATTTGAACGACGCATCCACGACCGGCGTGAAACCCAGTCTGCTCCTCACGGGTTAGCTCCTCACGCGTAGTGTACAATCGGCGGAGAATGACGGACGCCAACAGCTTTGACGCTATCGGGATTAGGCTTATGCCCCAATGATTGGCACAGTCATTGCGCAGGCCGTTTTTGAAGATTGGGACAGTAATCGATGCCCCCAGGAGGAATGGACCTGCTCAGTATACCACACTTTAGAGAACAGAACTTGTAGTTCTTTCACAAGCTTTATTCCGCCATCTTTAAATAGAGCAGGGGAAGGCCATCGGAGCCCGGCGCTTTTTG